TCTGGGGCCCACCCAGCCTCCTCTACAATGGGTACCGGGGTCCTTTCCCGGGGGTAAAGCCGGCCGGGGCGTGATGCTGACCACTCACCCCCATCTAGTGCCGAGGTCAAGAAAGAGAGGAGCTATACCTCCACTCACCCCAAACGCCTACATGGCGTATAGTGGGACAAACTTTACTTTACTTTACTTTATATCAAAATTATACTAATAAACTTTTCTGTATTAAAGTATAATATTTTCGAAAGACTAAATCGGAGTGTAACGTATACATTATTCAGCTTTCCAAACCACCCGTTTGTAATATGTTATGCACGAGAATGTCAGCTGGAAAGCAATCTGTCATCCACTACACCACCTTCATTTACACACTTAAGGACGAGGCGGAATCAAATTAGCAGTTTCTTGCCCGAGTAATCAGGATATTAGGATCAGTCACGGACATTGTCTTTCTCCCTGCCAAGACCGACATAACACGTCGTCTAATTTTCAAGTTGGAGCGTTTTGGGGGAGGCAATTAGACGGCAGCTCAGTGAAGCTCTAACAGGAAGCCTCCGGCAGAGATAATCGTGTTATTAAGAGCTGAACAGTTTCGTCTTACTTCTGATTGGACTGTCCCGCACAACTGACATGTAAAAGAAGTTGCCGTGGAAGCAGGGAGAAGCTTACGAATCAACTGCGGGGAGTTCTTGGCGAAATATCACGTTTTCCACTGCTACTGCTGAAACCAAAGTGTTTTAAAGCTTGCAGTAAAATCTGTTTCTTTGTTACTGTGGCAATCTGACATTTGCGACATTCCAACCCTCATTTATCCAAATGTTAATTTTATTATTATTAAACACAAAGCAACAGTTAACAGAGCTAATACAGATGAATCTTACTACATAAATTTACGCAGATTATATTAAATTAAGTAAGCAAGAAATAAACTACCTAAATCTAAACAGAACTACAGTAGTCTTTTGCTGAACACAAAGTTTCATTACCGAGATCACAGAAACCAGCCACTGGACTCTACCCTGAGCCAGCTGATCTAGTTCACGTCGAAGCACTCAATTTATTTAAGATTCACTTTTAACCCTCTTATCAGGGCTTAGGCAACTTTGGTCAGTTCTTTCAAGTTTTCAGATTAAAATTTTGTATACATTTATCTTCTCCCCATTTTTCTACATGTCTGGCACATCTCATCCTTTCAGATTTAATGGCTCTAATAATGTGTGGTGGGGTAAAAATTACAAAGTTCCTGGTTATGTACGTCATTTTAACCTCACTCTATTGTGTGTCTATTATGACACAATATTGTCAGCAAAGTATACGTATAATACAAGACAATACCATACAGAAATACAGCAGATCTTGAAGATTTTCGTCTTCTGGGTTGTTGCGCTGTGTAGTCTGGTCGATGTCCACCAACGTTTCAGAGGTCATACTGCCTCCGTCATCAGGGCGAGGCAGTATGACCTCTGAAACGCTGGTAAACATCTACCATACTACACAGCGCAACAACCCAAAAGACGGAAATCTTCATGATATAGAATGCCTACAAATCACATACAATGCCTGAAATACTATACTTTGCCTGTAACATTTTACTGTAACTTTGAAGATTAGTACTAACATCGACCAGACTACACAGCGCAACAACCCAGAAGACAGAA